AAAAAAAAAAAAAAAAGCCCCCACCCCAAACCAAAACACCTCTGCACTATCCAGCAACTGGACTAACGACCCAAGCGCGTCGCACTGTGCGCGGAGCCCTCTGCGGCCGCGCTACGAGGCGGGGGCTCGTTTTAAGCGTCAGTGCACAGCTGCCACCGGCGGCCACAGACGAGGGTCTCACCTCTTGTGTTCTTAGTCTGAACTAGGCCATCTGTAAGCTTTGATCTTTTTTTTGTAAATTTATAAAGCTTTGGAAGGAAAAGGAATAAATTATTGTTTTCAAACGGCAAAAAAAAAAAAGAAAAGCTCAGGTCGGACCAGCGCGGAGGCTCAGGCCCGCGGTCCCAGCACTCGGGAGGCCCAGGCGGGAGGACGGCTGAGCCCAGGAGCTGGAGGCTGCAGGGAGCCGTGATGACGCCACTGCACTACAGCCCGGGCGACAGAGCAAGAGTTTGTCTCAAAAATAAAATAAAATTGTTTTAACTTAAAAAGACATAGCAAGTACTGGGAAGGATGCGGAGAAACTAGAGCCCAGGCACGCCGTTGGTGGGGATGTGTTTAATGGTACAGTTACTTTAGAGAACAGTTTAACAGATTCCTGAAAAATTTAAACATAAATTTACTCCGTGACCCAGCAAGTCCCCCCTTGGGTTTTTTCCCCAGGCCAAGGGGAACCGGTGTTCCCCCGGCCACCGGGGTTTTGGCCTTTCCGGGCTGGCACCCCCACGGCTGGTCGGGAAGCCCAGATGCCCTCCCCCGCCGAGCATGTAACAGAACACGCACAGCCACGCAGCGGGCCGTTGCTCAGCGACAAGGAACACGGCGCTGATACATGCTGCAACACGGATGGATCCTGACAATAGTGAGTGGCAGCAGCACAGGCAAGAGATCGCATGTTGGGTGACTCTGGTCACGTGAGACGTGCAGAAAAGGCAAATCGTCAGCGACAGGACAGACTCAAGACGGTGAGTAAAGGCAGCGAGGAACCTTCTGAGGGGGACAAAGTTCTAAAACTGAGTCCTGGTGTTTGCGCAACTGTATAATTTACTAAAAATCACCGAACTGTACACTTAAAATGGGGAAATCTTACGGTATGTAAATTACACCTCAGTAAAGATGTAAAACTCTCACACCCCCCTCGTGTGGGGTTTGGGAAGAAAATAAACTGCGCAAGTTTAACGCAAGCACAAGTCACGGTGTCGTCCAACCTGTGAGGGACAACATTAACTACCCCTCCAAGCGCTTGCAGCAGCACAGAAAATTACCAAGGAAGTCACGCCAGACAGGACAGGACGGGAAGACCCACCGTGAGCACTTGTCATTGTCACAAGCGGCCTGGGCACCTGCCTGTCTAGAGCATCCAGAAGAGAATTATGGTGTTTGGAATTCACTGTGCATCAGCTGAACCAAACCAGAGCATCTGTCCTAATCCACACAGCGTATCACGAGAGGACAAACAACACAGTGTAAGAAATGGAATCTCTGTCAACAAGATCACCCCTGACATTTAACCCGCCCAATTCATGAACCGAGGTACAAGACCACAGCTTGCCTCAGCCAAGCGTCCTCCGCTGCAACTACACCACCGAGACACGACCCCAGGCATCTTCCTGTGAAGACCCAGTCAGGGAAGATTTACACACCAGTGCCCCCTTTCCCAGATCCAAAAGCCAGTACGAAGCCACTGCCACCCTCCCTGGTGGCCGCCTGCTTTCAGCTTTTCCTCCCAGCGGCCCCAGGCACATGTCACGGCGTCCCAAAGTGGAGCGAAACAACTCTGGATGCCTTTTTCTCAGGCAACAGCTTGTCCCTGAGACGAGAGAGAAAAGCAGGCTCTGGTTCTGGTTCCCAAGTCTGTGGCGCCCTGGGGACGAGCGGGGCTGCAGAGACAGCCTGGGGACGCAGGTCTCACTGCCCACCACACACTTAGACCTGAGCCTCAGGCCGCGGACGCGGGGTGCTGGCTGCTCCTGTGCCCCCACGAGGGCCCCAACAGGACCGTCCCGGGGTCTGTTTTCTTCTCCTTGCTGTGCTGTCTCCTCCCTCTCTGGGCTCTGCAGACCCGGGCGCGCCCACGCCCCACACAGGCTGGGCCTCCTCGGCCACTGCTTCCCACTCCTGCTCTCACCGTCTCTGTTAAGAGCGCGGCAACTTCAGGAAGCCACCAAGTCGTGAATGCCCAGCCACAGGAGGCGCCGTCAGCAGACACAGCGGATCTTGCAGAGGCAGCGCGGGCTGAGTTTACGACCAGATGCGTTTTCTGACTCAGCCGCCCAGCGTAGCACCTTTTGTAACTGTGAAGAGTTCCAGCTTTGCACAAAGCGAGGGCACCCGGCCCCGCAGCTTGGCAATGGCCGCCACCAGCCCATCGCCTTGCTCCGGCAGGGCCGGGAAGGAGGCCCCTAATGTGCCCACCGCGGCAGCTCCGCGGCCGGGGCCGTCTCTGGACTGGGCGCACGCCGGACCTCTGCCCACCCTGGGGCCAGCGCGTCACCACGGCACAGGTCTCCTCAACCCAAAGTGAAAACCAGACTGAGAAAAGAACCCAATAAACTTTTAAAACATGAATATTCCTTAGAAAAATATTCTGTAAAGGACAGGAGACATTGCTCACTGCACACAGATGGGTCAGAAGCTCAAGGTCTAAAATCCCTCCTGCAAGTCCAAATCCGGAAAACTCTGCACCCGTGACGCTGCCTGACACCAGGACTGACAAAATGTGGCCTCTGCTCTGAGGACACTCACAGCCGTACCTCTCTAAAATAACTGCAGTGGGAAAAACTTCTAGCATCGTGCAGAAAACATAACCCACTCAACAGGTGATGAGGGACAGAAACTAGTCCGGGAGAACGTTCTGTAGGGTCAGAGTGGCCTCCTGCAGCCAAGAACAGGAGGCAAATGGTGACACACTGCAGGACGCTCCTAGGACACTGGGACCGACCATGTCGCAGTAAGACCCTTCTGTAATAAAAATAATAGGACGACTAAATGCCCCGAAGTACTCTAAGGGTGGAAAAGTTATAAAATCTCGAACTAGCATTTGCTGGTCTAGAAAAATTCTCCTTGATTTCCTTAGAACCCAGAGCTGAATAAGAGAAACAGAAACAGCAGTGCTCAGCCACAGAAAACAGTGGTCATCCGGCACCTCTTGTGCTACCCTGGATGGAGCTGGAGCCCATTCTGCTAAGTGAGGTATCACGAGAATGGAAAAACCAGCACCTCATGTGCTCACCATCCGATTGGTACTAACCGATCACACTCGAGTGCACACGCAGTGGTGACACTCACCGGGGGTCGGGCAGGCGGGGGGTGGGGGTGGTATATTCACACCTAATGGGTGCGGTGCGCACTGTCTGGGGGGTGGACAGGCTTGAAGCTCTGACTCGGGCGGGGCAAAGTGGATGTACGCAACCTAAACACTTGTACCCCCATAATACGCTGAAATTAAAAAAGAATTGAAAAAAGAAAAAGAAACAGGAACTCTTTCCCGTCGGCCGGGAAGCGCGGACACCAGGTCAAGGCGGAGGTGCAGTGCCCAAGGGGGAGGCCAGGGGCAGTGGGGGCAGAGGTGCGGCCTCCTGCAGAGCTGGGCGGTGGCTCTGGAGAGTCCCGGGGGCACGAGGGGCAGGGCGGGGGAGCCCTACCTTGCGCTGGCAGAAGGTGGAGCAGTAGTTGACCTTGTGGCAGCCGGTGCACTCGCTCAGGGCCTCCCGGCCGCAGTTGACGCAGGACTGCTGCAAGAAGCACACGGGAGCCGTCAGTGCGAGGGCCGGGGTGCCGCGCCCCCGTCCCCAGGCTGCTGTCAGAGCCGTGCTCCCCTCGCCCCGCGCTCCTTAACGGGAAAACCCGCAGGCAGGCCTTCCTCCAAACGCCAAGGAACTTCCCACCAGCCACGCAGGTACAGAAAACCAAACTCAGGGCGACGCAATTCCCAATACCCGGGACACACGGCCGCGTCGGGGCTCCCTGAGCAGCCGGGAGTGTGACTGCTCCGTTCTGAGCTGGTTTACGTAGTTTACGGACATGACCCATCAGGCACTCTGTGTGCTTTTCCCTCAGTCAAGCCGGGCACGGCACATACTTGTCAATGACTAGTTAAGGGCCGGGCATGGTGGCTCGCGCCTGTATCCCAGCTACTCGGGAGGCTGAGGCGGGAGGATCACTTGAGCTCAGCAGTTCAAGACCAGCCTGAGCAAGAGCGAGACCCATCTCTCCTAAAAATAGAAAAATTAGCCAGGCGTGGTGACGTGAGACTGTAGTCCCAGCTACTTGGGAGGCTGAGGCGGGAGGATCACTTGCGCCCAGGAGTTGGAGGCTGCAGTGAGCTGTGATGATGCCCCTGCACTCCACCCAGGGCAGCGGAGTGAGAATCTGTCTCAAAAAAAAAAAGACTCATTAAGGTGCTTGGCAGTTGTGACAAATACTCTCTGAGACGGAGAAAGTCGCAGGCACCACAGGCCTCAGTGCCGCTGCCACACGCCCAGGAGGCAGCAGGACGGCCCCTCGAGGCGCGTGGCGCCCAGGCAGGAGGCTGCAGCCCCCGACCGCCTAAGGCCCACTGCAGCTCCAGTAGTTGAGCGACCGGCAAGGGAACGAGGACGGAGCAGCCTGCAGGCCTCCAGCGAGCACAGAGAGAAGTGGCCTCCAGACCTCGGTGCCCTTGCTGCAGGGGCCGTCCCCCTGCACGTCACACAGCGGGGACGCCAAGCCAGAACAGCGCCGCTCATATGCGGGAGCCGTCTGGAGAAAGGCCTGTAGGTCACACGTGCTGGCTCATTAGCGTCGGTTTTTAGACTCTACAGACCACGTACGACAGGCCACTAACAAAGCAACTTCTCCAGAAAGAGCCAACCCAGAATAATAAGACCACGAAATCACTTACAAAATGCCCATTAATTCTTTGAATATCAAGGAATACATTAATAATATATTTTAATATTTGTTATTCTTTCTGCAAATAAACTAAAAAGTCTAACTTGAAAACTCAGGGGCAGGTTCAAGGTGTCTGAGAAAACCCATCATTCCCGAGACGGTATCGGACCCTGCCGTCAGTCTCTGAACTCCGCGACCTTACAGGTGAGCTGTTCTCACCAGCCAGCCAGCCCGGGGAACCGCCAAAGTGCCCGTCTGGCCTCACTCCCCCCGAATCTGCTGCCGGCCCTGCCTCCCTCTGGAATCTCTCGGATGCTTCTGGTCAGCGCACACCCAGCGTCCTGGTCTCTGCGCTCCAGGGCCCGCCTGTCCCCGATGACTGTGACCTGCCACGGGGCTGAGCTGCCCCCACGATAAGGTGCTGGGAGGGAAGTGGGCACCATCTGCCTCCAAGAGCATCTTCGTCCCCGAGGACGGCTCTGTTATTAACACGAAGTTGGAGGAAGTACACCGGGTCTGATCAATCTCAGGGTGTTGAACGCAAGCTCTCTCTGTGTGCAGCCTCCCAGGGCGCAGCTGCGGGAGCAGCAAGTGGAGAAGAATCGAACGGCCACAGCCGCAGCCTGAGCTCCAGAGGGACGCGGCGGCGCCTCCCAGCGCTGAGGCCTTGGCCAGGTCCCACCCTGGGCCTCGTCTCCTCGCCGGCTAGCAGTGCACGGGCGTGTGCCCGTGTCCATGTGCAAGTGCCACGCCCACCTTCCTGAGCTGAAGGGAGGCGTGAGTGGGACTGGGACTCTTGGGCCACACAGCGCTGAGAGGCCACCAGGCCCAGAGCACCGGTCAAGGTGGGCCGTGGGCAGCAGCCACAGCTGTGCTCCCTCAGGCTGCTCTGACCACCACCCTTCCCAGGGGCCTGGCAAGTGGTGGTGCCAGGTGATCAACCCCGACAGGTCCAGGCTCTGCCCTCGACACAGCAAACGGAAATGATGCCAGCTGGTCTTAGCTACTGGTGTCATTCCCACTGGCCCACCGGCCTGCCCCTGGTCTGCTGGCTCTGAGGGTCATTTCCACTCCCTCGTCCCCTGCTCTGTTTGCTGGCATGGTCGGCTCCGGTGCTGCCGTCCCCAGAGCACCCCTCGCAGGGCTGTCCCTGGGGTGACCGAAGTGCGCTTCTGCGAGGGCCGTGGCAGCTCAGCCCAAAGACGAGAAGCGCAAATTAGGCTGGATTGTCTTGCTGAGAGGAAGCAATTGAAATACGAAGAAACCCTCAGAAAATCAGGCAGGTTTATCTGAAAGCTGAACCGAATGCGAACACATAAGCAGATCAAAGGATTAGTCTAATAGCATCTTTTTGAGCTGGGGCCAGAGTTTGTTGTTTCCATGAAACCACCACAGTAGAGATCATCGGGGTAGCAGTGGACGAAACCAAATCACAAACCCACTGGAAACCGAAACTCCTGCAGCCTCTCGTCCCGCCAGCCAGCCTGGGTCTGGCTGACGTGGGGCGGCGGACGCGCAGCCGACAGCAGCAACGTCCCTGAGAGAATTCGGAACCCATGCCTGTCCCTTGCCCAACCTGGCCCTGGTGGCCAACTGTCCCCGGCGGTTCGGGCTGCTGTAGGCTCCCTCCAGAGGCAGCATTTCTGGGGGGACGTTGGGGCAGCAGCCTGCATCAGACTATTCAGCCCTCAGCACCCAAGTACCCCGACACTGACACCAGCAAACCGCCACGCTCCTTCGGCCATGGTGGGAGGCTGGCCTGGTTGGGCCAATTTGGCTCACACGAATGCTAGGTTCACACTGAAGAAAAAGGCAAAAGCCCTTATTTTCAGAACCCCTGTGCCTGGATTTCAAGGAGATATCATCTGAGCAAGGAAGCCCCTCTTGGCACACTGCTCCTGGCAGCTGGGGCGGGTGGGGCAGTAGGAGGCCCTGGGCACAGACCCTCTGCTGAGCTTTCTAGGAACCACCCATGTGGTAATTTATCCTAAATTTACACATTCCTCTTCCTTTTGTGCACTTCTAGGCTATGCTATCTTTAACCCTTAAAAAGGAAGTTAGGAAGACCAGAGAAAGGCTGAGAAAGCTAAAAGGAACAGGGCCAGGCTGGAGGAGCAGGGGTCAGACCGGGGCGGCGTGGCCGACCCCAGCAGGGCTGTGGCAGTCAGCCCAAGACCCTGCGGCACTTGGCCGGCCTCCACTGGACGCCGCACCCTTGGCAGCCAAGGGCATGTGCTCTTCTGCCTTGTTTAATCTCCGCAGAGCTAATTACGTACACACGGATGCAGATTTTCCAAGGTTAAAATTGACAAAAACTCCCTTAATAGTTTCAGCTGGGCTAAATTTGATTTTTTTAAAAGTTTCAGATACAATGTCAGAGCAGGTGGCCTCAGGCCCCCTCCCTCTGCTGTAAGAACCTGTGTTCTCAGGGGCTCCTGAGTGAGGCCCCGCAAGCCGCTCCTATTCTTGCATCCCCCGTGTGGAAAGGCCCCAGTTGGCAGGGTTTGCCTGGCAGACCCCGATTTGCCCCATCACGGTCAAGCAAGGGCACTACGTGCAAATGACATTTTAATGGCATAAACCTTCTTCCCGTAACCCAGTGGCACGGGCTCAGGGAATGAAAATTCATTTTAATCCTAGCGGATGTTTCAACATTAGCATTACAGAAAACCTCTCGACATAAAACCGTTCAGTCCCTTCTGCAGGTGAAAAGGAGGCACCTGGCACTGTCCTGCAACACACGCCCTCCACTGTGGCCGCCATCCTCCCACCTCTCTGCCCTCCCGGCTCCCTCCCGCCCCAATCCGCGCTGGCCTTCCAGGGCCTGGTCCTCACCCCACAGGATCCCCGGAGGGAGACGCTCAGAGGATCCGCAATTCTAATTCAGAGTCACCATCACACAGCACAAGAGCCTGGCCACCCTGCCCCTGTCCAGGTGCTATGGCCAACACGTCACTGCAAGGGTCAAAGGGACGTTGGAATGGCCAAATGCACCTGCTACCGAAGGTGGACACCACGTCTGCAGGTGCCCGTGGCTGTTCGTCAGGCCACCCCAAGGGGCAGGGTAGTGATGGGCTCTTCGCCCTGGCCCGAGTCCCTCCTGCACAGCGAACATCTCCCCAGCCAAGCAACCACCCGCCACGTCACCAGGGGCACAGACAGCCCGCCCAGAGCCCCCAGCCCCACCGGGACCCGCCACCACCTTGATACTCCACAGCGGGTTACTTTTTGTTTCTTAATACGGGCCTGGGCCTGACCGCTGGCTGGGGCAAGGCTCACGGTCACGCCGCTGCCTCACAGGTACTTCCCCTTCCCAGGACCCAAGAGCTCCCGCTACAACTAAAATGGGTTCCTTCAGGCTACGATGTCCATAAAAATCCAACCTTTTCTTGATTATATACAAAGAACACCCCTGAGCCAGTAGTAGGCTTTGATCCTTCCTCCTCCATCTCCCTGCAAGGGCCTGGCCTGCTGGACTCTAACAGGTCACCACACTGTGAAAAGGGCTTCCTAAGCTAGGAGCTCAGTTATTTAAGACATCTCAAGAAAACAGAAAAAACAGAAAATTTCTGCACTTCCTTAGATAAAAAGAGCTTAAATAAGTCCCAGACATAAAACAGACACACACAACGTAGCTCATCATGGTGGGCGCCTGTAGTCCCAGCTACTCCAGGGCTTGAGGTGGGAGGATCACTCGAGCCCGGGAGCTCAAGGCTGCAGTGAGCTGTGATCACACCTCTGAATGGCCACTGCGCTCCAGCCTGGGTGACAAAGCAAGACCCTGTCTCTAAGAAAAAAAAAAAAATTAATTTCCCTCCATTCTAGTTAAGTTTAGAATTTGGAATTTGTTTTTTTCTATAAA